AAAATTAACATTTTATTTATTTATTTTTAAAGTCACTTTTTGGCACCAATGTTTTATTCCATTTTGTGTATAAAAACATGGGCGCATCTGATGACAATATGAACAAAGCATTACATTCATGAGTTTAAAACAAATAATCTATTGTGATAAAATATAAAATATCACATAAAAAGTCCTTATATCAAATTAGTTAATTGAATGTGATTAATTTGACTAAAATAGTAATCCCAGCCACTTAACTATTTGGCCAAATGGGCGATTGAAAAGCCTTTACAGATGCCTTCCCTAATCACAAAAAAACCGAGATTGCGCAGCTAACCATAGACACAAATATCACGCTACATTTTTATTATATACTGCGCTACGTTTATGTGAAGAATTGGGATCGCTTTCGTAGGCTATTAAATGGATAAAATACCTATAGAAATCACTTACATTTCCAAAAAAAAAACAGAAATGGGAACTGAAACGCCGTCCCCCCTCGAAATTCATTGCAAATGCTTTGGGCTGAACATGATTTCCATAAAGAGGGTTCACCATTATATGCTGATTAACAGAAGCTATAGCCTGTAAAGGATGTTTGTGGGCGTATCAAGTGTGTGTGTGTGTGTCTATGAACACTGACACCTGCTGGTGACTTTCATCATCACAGAAAATAATGAAGTACAATGTCAAATAATAATATACGTTGTTCCAGCGTTAAACATATGCAATTAATTACATGCACTGGTTACTGCATACATTTTCAAAAAGTAGAACACTTTAACCTTTTTAATTAAAGTTGTGTGTCCCATATGCAATGCCTCTATGATCCCACTACCTTTTTTTTTTTTTTTTTACTTCTGCAGATCAGGTTTCTTGTTTTGGTGGCACCATGAGTTGGAACTTCTTGACTCGCTTGCTTGATGAGATCTCCAACCATTCCACTTTTGTGGGAAAGATCTGGCTCACACTCCTCATTATCTTCCGAATTGTTCTGACAGTGGTGGGCGGTGAGACCATCTATCAAGATGAACAGGGCAAGTTCGTATGCAATACTGCACAACCCGGTTGTAATAATGTATGCTATGATGCATTTGCCCCTCTATCACACATCCGATTCTGGGTTTTTCAAATTATTATGATCACCACACCGTCCATTATGTACCTTGGCTTTGCCATGCACAAAATTGCTCGAATGGCTGATGACGAATACCGACCACGTAAGCACAAACTGCTTTCTATGATTCATCGAGGACTGAGTCGTGGCTATGACGAGGCTGATGAAGTTCCCATGATCTTGGAGGAGATTGAGCCCTCTAAAAAGGATAGTAAAGCGGTAGCTGCAGCCAAGTCTGCCCCTGCATCCAATGCTATGTCTACGAAGCATGACGGCCGTCGTCGCATCAAGAAAGATGGTCTTATGAAGGTGTATGTGCTACAGTTGATCTCTCGTGTAGCGTTTGAGATGGCCTTCCTTTTTGGCCAGTATGTTTTGTATGGTTTTGAAGTTGCGCCATCCTACATTTGCACCCGAAGCCCATGCCCACACACCGTGGACTGCTTTGTCTCACGTCCCACTGAAAAGACCATCTTCCTGGTCCTCATGTATGTTGTCAGTATACTCTGCCTGGTGCTGACTGTGCTGGAAATCCTTCATCTGGCAATTGGTGGTGTGAGGGACACTCTCCGTAGTCGATCGGCTCGGAGGCTTCCCATACACAGGTCATCCACATCCACTATCTGTCACCGCCTTGCTAGTGCACCCCCGAGATATCAGGCTGTCCTGAAAAAGGACTCCACTAGCAAGCTTAAGGCTGAGGTCCTGGGAGAGTCGGGATGGGAGTCATTAGGTGAAGACAACACTGGTCGTGATATAGAGCGTCTACGGAGACACCTGAAATTGGCACAGCGACATCTGGAACAGGCCTACCACTCTGAGGATGTAGGGGCTTCACATAGCAGCGGTCCAGACTCTAACAGTGCTGCCGTTGAGCAAAACCGACTCAACCTAGCTCAGGAGGGCTATGTCAGCTCTAAGGAAAAAGGTTTGTTTTGGGCTACACTTCTTTCACATCACATTTGTATAAGTACGATTTGAAATTAACACCCGCCAACCCACTAAATGCAGGTGGAAATCAACATGGCGGGTAACACTATGAGCTCATTAAGGAAAAGTGTGGTCACATTTACCATTGCTCGGCAAGAAATTGTGGGCGAAATCTAGTCATTTCAACAGGAATCCACGCATTTGGGAGTTTCTCGTCAGGGCGAAAAATTTCCCTACGTAGATTTCACTTGCGTTCAAGTTAGATTTATGCAAATTTAAAAAAACAAAAACGAAAACGGATGAACAGAAAGTGGCTTCGTTTGAAATTGACAGTGGACCTTTTTTGAAATTCGCTGAAAAATTGATTGTTAATGTGACCGCACATTTAGCTTATCACCTTGCATATCATCATTATTATTATTGCTAGCAGTAGCAAAATAAGGCATAACACTCCGGTACACTCAGGAAGAGACCAGAGACCACCTTTTCAGCGTGTTCTCACTCACTAGGCATCCAATAAATGCTGCATATCCAAGACAGTGTGTTGTCATGCAGACACCAAAAGCACCCTCTGGCATCTTTATTACAATACTGCAGGCAAACTTATAGCTTTCAGTGAGAAACATTTGCTGTAAATATACTGATGCAAAATTCATGGGAATTTTATCATCATGAAATCATGTGCTGGCATACATGATCTATTGGGGCATGATTTTTTGTTATGGATAGAAGTTTAAAAATGTAGTAGTCAAACTGGCTGGTGAATAAGTTACATTTAAACTTTGTTCATAAGATATAAATCATTAATTCCAGTCAGATCTGAAGTGCATCTCTGTATAAATTGCCATGTTTTAATGTGATCTTTGTGCACATTTGTTTTGTTTTTTTTATATTTGATGAATATTTAATAATATATGTTTTCCTTTTCTGTTTTTAAAGAGGGTCATGCTTGAAGAGACTAATGCCTTTCCATCAAACAAACCAACTCCAGGCTGAGATGCAAATTTTGGTGGGCAGTCGTTGACAAGATTTTGTGTGTTTTTCCTGTTCATCTGGCATTGAATGGATAAACTCAAAGCTCAGAAACAAATAATGGAGAGCAATTATTGACAAGATTTTGTGTGCTCCTCTAAATGCATATCAGAAGAAGTGTTACTTGGAGTATTAAAACCATAGCTGCCAAATTTAAAGACTAGAGAAACACCAGCTCTTAAAATCCACACTACTGTACCTTTCTTTATAAAGAAATTATATTTGCTCATATTGAAACAACAGCATGACAACAAAGACACATTCCCTGTGTTGTTGGAGATATTTAAAAGTATTGTTCATTATTAGCAGTTTTAGCAAATCAGTATTAATTGAAGCATTTAGCCAAAATTCACAGACCATCGAGTTCAGATTATTATAATGAAATGAAAGATGTGTCTTCGTCCGAAAAACAGAAGTGCTTGTGTTTTATGTTATGTTGGTTTTTGATTGGAGTACAGTCTTCCTGTGTGGTCTAATATTTTTGGAACATTGTCCTATATGTAAATATCGTAGGTTGAGGGAAACCCTTTTTCAATTAGAAGCAAGGGCACAATAAAGGTGTTCTTTTTTTCTTGTTGATATGCATTTTGAGGATTTTGCATTTAGAACTTTTGAATTAAATTATTGCAAGGCATCTGACCAGATTTTGAAAAAACATAAAGAACCTGGAAATTGCTTGAATTGTTTATTAAAAGGTTTCATGTCCTGTATTACTGTAAAATAATAATGAATGAATGAATAAATAAATTAAATTAAAATAATTTATGCAACATGCTACTGCATTACTTTTAGTACGGAACATATCTGTGGTTTACATTGGATTTATGGGAAACAGGAATTCAGATTTTGCAATGACATTATATAGGCGCACACTATTTGTGTCTTTGGTAAAGTATACAGCTTTGGCACATCTTATGAAATGAGTAGTACTTTGAAAAATATGTTTGAAATGTAGATTCATATGAGATGAAGGCTCATTATTATTGTTTGATAAATGATTTTTGTTTTCCCTCATTTGTATGTCACTTTACATTCAAACATCTGCTAAATGAATAAATGTTATGTAAATGACTCCAGTTGTGCCAGTGGCCTATAGGAATACCTGTTAATACCTGTATTTAATGGATGCCTCTATCAGTGGCTGCCATGTTGATATTAACATAAAAATCCAAATCCATGGTTATATAAGTGCCATACAACATTGTTTAATGCCCCTTTAAAAATAAATGTGTCATTTGTTTCTTACCTTCAGCATTTGACCTTTTTATTTTAATCAGGATGTTATAGTCTTATAAGAGTGTGATGGTACAACTGCTAAAAATCTGGCCTGGTAAGCCAAAGGTCCTGTATTTAAATTGTAGTGCAGATATTCCTTTTCACTGTGCCTCTGAGCAAACCAAAATGCTTTTTGGAACTATTCATGTAGTTTGTAGCTTGTTTTAAAGTATCTGCTAAATAATCAACAGCATTTAACACATTACACTGTATGTATTCCTCTGAACATAATTTTGAGATTCATTATTAATCAACACATTTGAATGATGGCCTAGATTAAAAACTAAAATATGTAGTGTATATATAGTGTTTTTTTTAATTATTTATTATTATTTTTTAACTTCTGCAGAAGTGAACAATTGTTATTAGGGTAAAAGTGGATAAAAGATTGTATAATAATGACGTCTCTTTTTCAAACATTTATGATTTATTTTCATAGATATCTGGGTGTTGTGCAATTTTTTAAGTATTTTAGAATTGTTTTTCAAAGAGCTTAGTGTACAAGGTTAAGATGCTTTTCTGTAAATGGCTGTTTAATTTAGTACAATGAAATAGATATACAAATATGAAAAACAATCCTCATTTGATTGTGTATTAACAATTTTAATATTGCTGAAGGTTAGCATTGCTAAAGTTAAAGTCGCAAGTAGAGAAGTTATCTATCACACTATTTTAATGCACACATTATTTGCTTTGATCATTCATTTAAAATAGCTGATTTGTGTTTGGAAAAAAAACAACATTCCCACACTTTACAGATAATCTTAAATCTAAGCCACAGCAGAGCGTTAGATGCAGTTGCACGCTTCTGGTATGATGTTAGGCAGGGTCTCATACTTGAATGAATATCCCCCGTCTGAGGTGGTGGTGAAACGGAGTGACTTCATGCTCTCTGGAGCAGGAGCGCAGCACTGCTTGATCCCAAGTAGGGTAGTAGTGCGCTCAGCACTGGAGCAGTTGCCATGGCAGTAGTAGAAAGTGAAGGCTTTAGGATGAACAATCCAGTTGTCCCAGCCGAGGTCCTCGAAGGAGATTTCTATCTGTTCTCTTTTGCAATCTGTGTCATCAGAAGCAGGTCTCATGAGCTTTTCGATAGCAGACGGTGACCAAGGGATTTTGGGCGCCCTGCGTGAGCGGTCGGGACCACTTGAACGGGTGTGGAGGTGCAGAAAGGGTGTTTTATCTTCTGAATCATAGCAACTGCAGGATGGGCAACGGACCTGCAGCATGAAAGGGCCAACAGCCATGGTAATGTGGAGATGGAGATCTAACTTATAGGTGGTCCAGCCATCGGTGCAGCGTTTGACTGGACTTACAGATGCTTGGAGCAGCTCCTGGTAAGGGTTGAGGATAAAAAGAGGTGCCGATATGTTGCTAGAAACAATGGCCTCTCCAGCATAGAACCAGAAGTGGGCAGAAGTGATGATGGAGTCCTGGCTGTCCAGAGAGGGCTGAAAGTAGTAAGTAAAGTGACTGGATGCAGCCTCAGAGGAGTTATCGGGCATGTCCTTACATGTAGACTCTGAAAGTTAATAAGAAAGGTCAGAATGTACAGCAACTGAAACTGTATGTTAATGTGTCAAAATAGCCTCTTTGTTTAAAAAAATGATTTAATAATTCAAACTTTAGGTGGGTCAATGACAAGTGTTCATGATAAAAATAAATATATGAATTAAATATTTTTAAACATCTAGTTTAAGACACGTGTTAAGTTCTTAGAAGTGTACTTTTTCAGTTCATGTTGGTGTCATATGGTTTTGAAACACTTTTATACAATACTTTTCAACAATATTGACTCTAAAAATGCCATGTGGTGTAACTATCAAATAAAAAATAATAACATATTTCCCTACCACATTTAAAATGTGAGTATACACATCTTGACAATTATAAAAAAAAATAAAAAAAAACCTTAATTCATAAATATCATTAGGTTTTTGGAAGGTTGCATTACATGACATTTTACAATATAACCTTGCCTTGTCATAAAAAGGTCAAATTATCCGACATTTTAAGAGACGTTGACCTTGACACACCATTGTCATATCAGACTTTTGCTTCACATCACATGACTTTGATTTTACTTACAAATGTTTTTCAACTATTTATAAGTAGTGAAGCTGAAAAAACAACAATAATAATGGCAAACTACTACTATCACTACCCCCCCCCCCCC